GGAGGGGAGAGGATGACTGGGAAGACTGGGAGGAGGAGGGGAGAGGATGACTGGGAAGACTGGGAGGAGCAGGGAAGAGGATGATTGGGAACAGTGGGAGGAGAGAATGAGGAAAGTGTTGGACAGAAGCAGAGATGACAGGAGAAAGGGGGGAGTGATTTAATGAGGTGCAGGAGGAGAAGGTGAGCCTCACAAGTCCCAGAGGTTGAGCTGTGTACAGAACACCATCAGTGACATCTTGGAATAATGAGCTTTTTCTTCCACAGGGGCCTGGATCCTGACTGGTGGTCTCTGCGAGGGGATTGGGCGCTACGTGGGTGAGGCAGTACGAGATCACGCCACTGCCAGTACGCAGTCCAACACCAAGGTCATTGCAGTGGGCATTGCATCCTGGGGCATCGTCCACAACAGAGAGCAGCTGGTCAACCCGCAGGTGTGTCCACTGTCTGACAACCTCCTCCGTCACTGCTCCCGCCCCTGAGCCCCTACTCATTCACTACTCCTGCCCCTGAGCCCCTACACATTCACTACGCCCGCCCCTGAGCCCCTACTCATTCACTACTCCTGCCCCTGAGCCCCCACTCATTCACTACTCCTGCCCCTGAGCCCCACTCATTCACAACCCCTGCCCTGAGCACCTACTCATTCATTACCTCTGCCCCCAGCCCCTACTCATTCATTACTCCTGCCTCGAGTCCCTCCTCTGTCACCACGCCTGTCCCCAGCCTCTACTCATTCACTACTCCAGAACCTAGAACAGGAATCTCTCAGGAAGAACAGTGACGTTAATGCTGGCTCCTGTAGTCTCCCATGAATAATTTTAGCTAGGTTTGACGTTCTTGACCACAGCACTGCATCTGTCTGCCCTCATTCACTTACCTTCCTAGTCCTCCTCCTACTCTGCGCTGTGCTGTAGTGCACCTGCAGTTTGTGTGTGCATCTTAAATTCTCTCTCTCTCTCTCTGCCAGGGCTCCTTTCCTGCGAGATACTATGTCCAGAACACGTCTTGCGACACCTTCTGTCTGGACAATAACTATCAGGCCTTCCTCCTTGTGGACGATGGGTCTGTGGGACGCAGTGGTGGGGAGACTGGCTTCAGAGCACGCCTGGAGAACTACATCTCCCACCAGAGGACGGGCATCTGGGGTGAGTCTGGACTTACACCCCACAGCACCGAGCTCACTGAGGGTGTCCTCTCATCACCTCTTGTTTGTTTCTCTGGCAATCTCTGTGTGTCCCAGTCTCTCTGAGTCTCTCACTACGTCTCTCTCAGTGTGTCCTGTGTCTCTCGCTGTGTCTCACGCTGTGTCCCCCCAGTCTCTCTGAGTCCTGTGTCTCTGAGTCTCTCAGCGTGTCCTGTGTCTCTTGCTGTGTCTTACTCTGTGTCCCAGTCTCTCTGAATCTCTCAGTATGTCCTGTGTCTCTCACTGTGTCTCACTCTGTGTCCCTCAGTCTCCCTGAGTCCTGTGTCTCTGAGTCTCTCTCTGTGTCCCCCAGTCTCTCTCTCTCTCAGTGTGTCCTGTGTCTCTCACTTTGTCTCTCTCTGTGTCCCCCAGTCTCTCTGAGTCTCTCTCAGTGTGTCCTGTGTCTCTCTCTCAGGCAGCGGCAATATAGAGATACCAGTGCTGTGCATGCTGGTGGCTGGAGATGAGGCAATGCTGGAGGTGAGAGCTTGGAGTGGGGTGATCTGACTGTACTGAATCCAACGCTGACCAAGTCCCTGAGTCCCCGAGCCCAACACTGAGAGATTCACTGACAACAACACTGACTGCCTCACTGAGACACTGACTCAGAGTCAGTGACACCAACACTAACTGAATAAAAAAGTCCACTGATGCACAAATTGCAAAGGACAGGAAGCCACGTTAGGTAGTAAGTATCTTATTAATCCCAGGATATCATCAACTGTTTCTTGAAGGAAACTATCGGCTGGAAAATTTGGCTGGGTAGCTTGTTTCACACCTCCGCCACCCTTTGTATAAAGAAGTGTCTCCTGCTATCAATTTGAGTTTTTCTTAAAGCACTGTATGTCCACAGTTTTTTTACTGGATTATTTTCTGAACTTAACCATTTAGGACCACCTTGTGCCTCATATATTTAATTGCTCGCAAGGAGTCTTCTGGTACCAACCCAAACCCACTGTAACATCAAAAGCCATTCCAGATCTGCGAGATGAGCTCTTCTCGAATGGTACTCCTCTGCCCTTGCGATAACATACCTGTGGAGCAACCATGCAGTCTAGATTCTGTTCCCTCTACTTCCGGCTGAGATGTAGGCATGTGTGTTTCTGTGGTTTTTAGATTTCACTGCCCCCGTTGTGGTGTTTCAGTAGGTAGCCCTTCTACCTTTCCAGTTCAGATGTCCCCTGACTTTGCAGTAGTTCTGTGCTCCAAGAAGACTGGCAACCTTCCTGCTCAAATGCAGTGCCCCCCTCCCTGCAGCTTGCACACACTGTTTACCCAGCACATTGCAGTATCCAAGGACGCCAGGGCCTCTTAGGAACAGCAGGTCTGTAGCCAAGCAGTGATCAGGAGTGTCCTGGGGGCAGCGGGATGTTAATACTGCTCTTCAGCGTGTCTGTATGACCCCTGTGCGTCCTCTGTAGGCACTGTAGCTTGTTCACATATGCAAAACCACCACTGTGTCCTCGCAAGTGCTGACCCACAGCCTGGCAGCTTCTGTGACGTGTGTGCTGGGCTACAGCGGACATGAAAGGTTACAAACCAGCGGAGGCTCATGTGACTGGTCATTGTCACGTCGTGTCATTTGCCAAACCCTTTATACCGTACGGTGTTGCGGGAAGCTGGAGCCTACCTGGCATGCAAAGAGCGCAAGGCGGGGTACACCCTGGGTACGCCAGTCCATCGCAGGGCAAGCCAATCATACATGGAGGCCACAGTAAAGGCTGAGGAGGGAAATTTGGCCCGGACACCGGGATAACTCCCTACTCTTATTGGGAAGTGTCCGGGGATCTTTAATGACCACAGAGAGTCAGGACCTCGGTTTAACGTCTCATCCGAAAGATGGCTCCCACTACAGTCTAGTGTCCATGTCACTATACTGGGGCATCAGGACCCACACAGACCGCAGGGTGGGCGCCCCCTACTGGCCCCACTAACACCTCTTCCAGCAGCAACCATAGCTTCCCATGAGTCTCTCCTCCAGGTATTGACCAGGCTCAACCCTGCTGAGCTTCAGTGGGCCACCAGTTGAGAGCTGCAGGGTGATATGGCTGCTGGCCACTGGTCATTGTGAATCTAAAATTCTAAAATTTCTTGAAGGAGCCCACGGTTTGGGCTCAGTACATTATTGATCTTCCTTTTGAGGGTCTTCCAGGACGGTTGAAGGACGGTTCGGGGTTCACCTTTCCCGGTGAGAGACTCGCTGTCCCTGCGGTTCGGGGTTCATCTCTCCCAGTGAGAGACTCGCTGTCCCTGTGGTTCGGGGTTCACCTCTCCCGGTGAGAGACTCGCTGTCCCTGTGGTTCGG